ACAATACCACTGTTTGACCTTAACCATAATATTCGAAGTAGCCTATTACTTTATTAGCAAACTGACAGACTGTTTATGTCTCAAAACACAGTGAGCTGCCTACCTAGACAGCATAGTGGTCCCCTTCGGCGCATTATGAACATTTGAATCGATGCCCAGAAATGCTGTCTAGATAGGCAGCTCGGTACGTTGAAACAGATCCACTAAGACAACTTCACAAAGAAAAAGTTAATTATCTAAATATACTTTATAAGGATTTATATAAACAATTCATTATTCGCTCTTCACAGGGGGGAAAACGAAACAATTTAATGAAATAACAACGGAATTAATTATTTTTCAGTGGGCTAATGTTCAGTAAACTCTTATTAGTGGCTAACCGACTAGCTAAGCATGCTAACACACGTAACGTTACACTTTCCAAATTAACAAATTCCAAACAAACTTTATAAAGGTACTCACGGTCTCCTGCTCGCTTTTCACATCCCTCCGCAGTAAATGAAAGATGTGAAAGCGCGCTTTCCTCGCTTCAGCCATCCAGATCTAATGGAGAAAGCCAGACTACTCGGAGTTTGTAGTGTGTGTAGCCGTTTGAACGGCGCTCGGTGGGATGTGACGGCAACATTCACAGGATGAGAGAAAATTCCACTGGAGGATCAGATCATATCACATCCACGGGAAGACAACCCTGACAGTCTTGTGCTTGGTGGAAAGTGTTCAATTTAAGCTTACAAAATAAGTTTCATGTAGATCACATGGGAAGGGTGTTGCAATAATCTAGTAACTAGTTGCAATATAAATAAACACATTTTTGGTTATGTTTAGACTAGGGTTAAGATTATTTATAAATAATAATATTAATGGTTGTTGACTGAAATAATTATTCACTCTCCGCACATTACATATTTTCCAAGATCAGGATTTGACCACCACCTGGTGGCAGATAGGATTTACAGTCACTTGATAGACTGTTCAAACATAGTATTTTTTTTCTATTTTATAGGATATTTTTAATCAGAAATGATCATGTGACACTTTATAAACTGACAAACTGTAGGAACATATAGCTATGGCATAACAGAATAAACTGACAGATTGTATAAATTTGCTTTTTTTATTTAATAAAATATTTTTCATTACAAAATTTTAATTATAACAATGTATAAACTGATAGACTGTAGAAACATTTTCTCCAATTTAATACTTTTTCATTGCAAATTTTAAACATTTTATTAAACATAATTTTTAAAATATTTTAGAATTTATGTCATTTGCTTTAATGACTATCACACTGTCCAGCATAATTTGATAATTATCCAAAGAGCATCTTGTGCTTCAATGAAAGCAAAAATATCTATCGTTTTTCAACAAAATATTTTACATCAAAACTTTATTTAGAGATTTAAATGTGTAATAAATATGCTGTCAGATGTTTGGACCCCATACGTTGAACCAAAGTGACTCTCCAAAATTCCACACTAAATTAAATATATTCAGTGAGTCAAGTTTTTTTTTTTCAAACTGTACTGTCTTCTTCTTCTTCTTTAACCTAAAGCAAGTTTTTTGTGGCACATTTTATTCTATTCTGTCCCAAACACACACAAATCTGTTTCTCTATCTCTCTGTCCTACTTAAATTGATCCTGTCCCTTGACACTGTAACAGAGATCTATCTAATCTTTTTTTTTCCATTACATTTTCTGTAGCTATTGAGAATTTTACCTCTGTCCAAGCTGCATGTACATGTGGGGTACTGCAGGGTTCTGTTTTAGGCCCTGTTTTGTTCTCTTCTTCCTTTAGCCAAGATCTTTCGGAAGTATCAGATCTCATACCATTTTAATGCAGATGATATACAGCTTTATCTTCCAATGTAACCAGATTAGAAGAACATATCTCTCCAGTCTCTGGTTGACCGTGTGAGTGAAGTCAAAATTTGGATGACGGATAATTTTCAAAAAACATACTAAACAGCAAACACGTCTCACTCCTTATTAATACTTAAAGCATTATAAATATATTACATGAGCCATAGAGGCAGTGCAAAAGAAAATTAATTCTTGTTTTATCTGGAATAATGTTAAATAATTAAATAAATGTCAAAATACATAAAATTTTGAATATAGCCACAAAACTTAAACATTATACATGTTGGCATGTAACTAGCTTAACAAAATCACTTAACTTTGTTTGTGTAAAGTCACATTAAATTTTTCACCTCCTATGGTGTTCCATCATAGGTCATTCATTTTAAAGGGGTCATATGATGCGATTTCAAGTTTTCCTTTCTCTTTGGAGTGTTACAAGCTTATTGTGCATAGATAAGATCCCTGAAGTTGCAAAGACTAAAGTCTCAAAACCAAAGAGATATTCTTTATCAAAAAATAATGATCTTTAAAAAAGCATCATATGACCCCTTTAATAATAAAATATTGTGATGTACAGCATCACCATATACTGTATAATTCATCTCCATACATCAGTACTGTCTCTTGAACATACTAACATAAAAAATAACTCTCATAATGAGGCTTTGGATGATATAAAATTACAATTAAAAGTCTATCATAAATGCACTAAATCCTTTAAGCACATAAATCCTTTTCTAAAGGTACACTTTTGAACCTTTAAGGTACCAATATGGCCTCTTTAGGTTCAAAGGTGTGCCTTTTGAAAAGGCACTGCCCCAGTGACAACTTTTGTACCTTTTTTTCTGAGAGTGTAGATTTCTAAAATGTGGTTATACAGAATAAGGCATTAATATGTGCTTTATAAGTACTGATAAACAGCCAATATGCTAGTAATATGCATGCTAATTAGCAACTAGTTAATTGTGAATAGTGTTCCCTAATCTAAAGTGTTACCGTAAAATCAAATTGTTTCCAGATGGCTAGTGGGATGCCACCTTAACCAGAAGTTCATTCATCTAGTGAAAATGGAGTTAGACAACTTTGCAGACCAAACACCTTTTTTATGGAAAAATTTATTTTAAGTGCTTTAACAAAAATGTAAGCTTAAGTAATATTTTGACAAAAAAAAATCTAATTTGCAAGTGCATTACTACAAACCATATTTTTTGGGCAAAATTACATGAAATGAAAATTCACCCTATTTCTTTTCTAAATGCATGTTATTGATATTATTGTGAACGATTCATCCAATCATTTTTTTTGACCTCATAATTTTTAATGAAAAGGTTATGACCCATTTATTTACCTGTTGAAACTACAGACTTTTCTCTGGTGACGTATGCCGGATTTCTCCAATCCTTTACTCTGCTTAAACTCCGGCCCTTCACAATCAACTGCAAGCTTGCATTCTCTTTTGAATCCAACGTTGACATCTCAAAATCCAATCAACAGCTGATGAACAGAACCAAGTCACCACCCTGCATTTGTTTCTATTTTGATAATCCATTACACTCAGATGTACATCGCAATATAGAAGAAAATATCTTTCACTCCTGTTTCATCAGGACTTTAAGTTACCCATAAAACACATGCCATAGCTTAAATGTGACTTGTTATTTTCACAGGTGTCACTCTAATATTACAGAGACATAATGAACAACATGAAAGGATACAAAGGCATTTGTAAAGCACATCTGCGAGGCCTCAGTCTTGCATGAAAGATGCGGAATTATGTTTGTTTGAATTATGGTTAAATTGGCTGCAAAGCTAACATGAAAGCTGATAATTTATGGATAAATGAAGAGGTCATTCAACTGTTGTTTTTCAGTTTAAAAAAAGATCATAGAGCATGTGAAGTCGAGGGAACACCACTATGATCTGCATCTCAGACATTCAGACTTGCACGCACACACTGATTTTGGAAAGTGACAGGTTGTTAAAAGACCTGCACCTGTCTATCTCTCTTTCTATCTCTCTGTCTGTTTACCACGACAATAGAGTCACCAGGAGTCCGTAGCCACATTGTGGCTGGCTCACTGACACAGGAAATGGTTACTATGACAACTTAGATCTACATCCTGCCTAAATGCGGGAAGCTTCACAATTTATATCTCCTTATACTCCATCACTATGAGCCAATATTCATGAACATTCTGTCCACTGTAATAAACCACCATGGTTTACCACTACAACAAAGACATCCTTTTGTTCTCTTATTTCACGCAACATCCTAAACAACTTAGCAACTGCCTACCTGCAACACTCTAGCATAGTTGGTGATATGTTTGTTTGCATGGACACCACTCTTGTAAAATGACATTCTGGTTGTTCTCTCTGATTGTCATTGTGCTGTTATGGTACTGTGTCTTATTAACACAAAACTCATGCATGCACAGATGCACACACCCATAAGGAGGGAGGGCTGACATTTAAACATCTGAGCTTTCCCTCATCAAAAGATTCACTTCAAAGTCATATGTGAGAATAACACCTATGGTAAACCTCTAACAGTCATAAACACAATAATCTCAAATCTACCAACACTAATTTATTGTTATAGTGGCACTGCTTGGTATGGAATACAAATCTAAAAAAGGTAATTGTGACCTTTATCTCAATAATATTACCTTTATCTCACAGTTTTTCTCACAGGTTATATCTTAAAATTCAGACTTTTTTCCCCCAGAATTGCGAGTTTTTATCTTGCAGTTGGGATTTATTAACTCACAATTCTCTTTTTTTTTTTCTCAGAAATCCAAGATTATATCTTACAATTGCGAACTGACATCTCGCAATTCTGACTTTTCAGGTAAGGTTGTCTAAAAAAAAGAATTGTGAGATGTAAATTCGCAATTCCAAGAAAAAAAGTCAGAATTACAAGATGTAAATTCAGATTTCCGAGACAAAAAATGTCAAAATTGCGAGATGTAAACTCAGAATTCTGCAAAAAAAAAAAAAATCAGAAATATGAGATATAAACTCAGAATTGTTAGAAAAAAAGGCAAAATTGTGAAATAAGTTGCATTTACCTTTTTTATATTTGTATTCTGTATTACTCAATTAAATGCTACTAATCCAAAAAATGTCCCCTTACCTTCATGTGGTCCTGGCAGCGGAATACATAGCAGGCTGCTTTCTTCTCCTCTCTGAGCAGACAGCCAAAATAGCTGGGTTCTTGGCTGTTGTGAATGAGTTTGGTGATACGATGAGGCCTGTGATCAAACAGAACCATATGTTGCAATGGGTCCCATGGCTTCCCCGGGCCTGCCGTCTCCAGAATGCAGCACACTTTACTGGATGAGATCTTCAGCACCACAGGCTGATCTCGAACCTTGGACAATCAGAGAGAAAAAAATACAAGTAAAGAAGTACCAAAAAGTGCCATGATGCCAACAAGATATTCTATATATGTACATAATATAGTACAACAATATAGTCAATAATAAGTACCATAGTATTTTTATACTAATAATACTTCTTTGTATACTTTCTTTCTGAAAATGTTGGGGTCAGTAAGACTTTTTTTTTAAATAATACTTTTATTCAGCATGATCAAAACTGACAGTTGAGACATTTGTTATGTTTTCCATTTCAAATAAATATTCTCTTGAACTTGCTAAGAATCCTGAAAAAAAAAATGTATCACTGTTTCCAAAAAAATATTAAGCAGCACAACTGTTTTCAACATTATAATAATCAGAAATGTTTCTTGAGCATCAAATCAGCATGATTTAAATTGATTTCTGAAGGATCATGTGACACTGAAGACTGAAGTAATGATGCAGAAAACTCAACATTGCATCACAGGAATAAATCATATTTGAAAATGTATTAAAATACAATATAGTTATTTGAAACTGAGAAAATATTTATTTATATATTAATGATATGCATAAGAGACTTCTTTCAAAAACATAACAGACTAACAGACCCCAACTTTTAAACAGTAGTGTATCTTTACAATACATTTACAATTAGGCTTTACATCATTGTTTTTGTTTTATTTTTTTATTATTTATTTTTTTTATAACATGTATTTTTAATATTACATTTAATTAGTATCAAATAATCTGACCTCTGGAGAGTGAGCACCATTGAATTCAAGGTTTCTGTTATTTTCCCCCAGCCGCTGCCTCCGTATCTCAGCCACAACCCAGGGGAGCATCGCCATGGTGGTCTGTGGATGGATGGCCAAAGATCCAACCAGAGTTAGCCTGTACTGAATCTCCTCTTCCTCTTCCTCTTTCTTCCTCTTATCCTCTGATCCAGGAAGTGTTTGGGCACAGAGAGGGTGAGCTTTGATTGGGTCATCTCTGGGTTTGACTTCAAAACAAATGCCCTCCATGCTCCTAATCATAAAATGAGGAACTAGGTGTAACCTCAAAAGACAAAAAAACACCAACATTAATGAAACATGCATGTGGTTTTATGAGCAGATACATGTAGGGTGCAACACACTTCATTGTCTATGACAAACCCTTTGCGTACATCTTCATCAACTTTGCCATTTGCAGGGGATTAAAACAGCTTACTCTGAAAGCCCCTGCAAATGTTACAGAAGGACACAGGCAAAGAAAACCTTTTCTCTAAGATTCTCTTTATAAATTACAACCTTGAGAAAAAGTTATCTTACTGTTTGTAAGATAACTGAATATTATTTAACTACATGACAACATTTCTCATTTTCATTTCAATTTTTAAAGTTTTTCCATGTAATATTTATATTTTGTTTTCTTTAAACTTCATTTCAATTGTCAAAAAATTATTTTTAGCTGACAATAACAACATGTGCTTCATGTGGTAACATCTAAATTAAATGGTTAGTCTAATATAACCTAGAATCATCTGACTGCATTGTTACACCAACAAAAGTCATTTTAAGGATCAGAGCAGGTAGAACTAACAATTGCTCATTTTTTTATCGTGCCAAGGTATGCACCCTATTGGGAGGCACCCAATAGACTTCGCTAATAACTACAAAAAGGCATAAAAATAAGTGTTATAAGATAAGATCATGTCAAGGTCACATTGCAAATCTGGCTTTGAAGCATTGGAAGATATTGTCCTCCTGCACTGATCTGAGACCTTCCTCATGTGGCACAAACACACTGAAGCCAACAGCGAGTATAAATAGCCAAGCTAATGAGAAACAACTGCTATTTACAGAGAGGTCAACAGAAAGTTTCTCTGATGGCAAGAAGTCAACATTTCATAAAAATACAAGAGGGGTCATGGAGTCATAGCAAACCAACTCACAGGTCATCTAAAAAAAAACAAAACTCCAAATATCAAGATTTTAAGGACAGGTGGCAAGGTCATAGGTTTGCTACAGTGCCATATTTTGCTATAGATAAGTCACTTTGAATTAGGCATTCTATACAATCAATGAACTTTAGCATAGAAGACGATTTTTAACTTTCACTTACCTTTACACACAATGCACCGCCTTGAGGAAGTGCTTGACAGTCCCGTTAGTTTTTGACAATGCAGACTGTCCTGATTTTCAGGCTGTCCTTTTTCCAAAATAGTCGATTAATCACAGTATCTGTCGCACCCATAGCAATAACACGGAGTAGTGTGACCAGCGAGCCTGTGACTGAGGACTGAGGAAGTCTTCAGCTCTGACGCTTGAGTGAACTTCTGATGATGTGCAGGTCACGCGGAGAGAGAAGGTCTTACAGCACCAGCAGGAAACGAATGAAAACAAATCTTTTTTCAGTCCGGTTGTGCTTTGAAATCCACTTCACATGTTAAAACTGCGAAGTTTTATTTTGAAAGCTTCTCTACAGTTTAAAGTTATCGTTTAAAAAGAAGAAGAAGAAGAAGAAAACTGTCATTATTACTCATTCTCATGCTGTTTCCCGTGTGACTTTCTCTCTTCTGAGGAACTCGAAAGGAAATGTTCAAATTGATGACTGACAGTCAGCATTCACTTTAATTGCATATTTTAAAAAGGGAATAGTGATGAGGGGGAGCAAATAATGACAGAATTGTCTTTTTTTGGTGAATTTCCTTTCAATTTTGTTGTCACAGTCCGCGAAATTATGTAAAATCTATAACTCCATGTTACTGTACACCGTCAAAGTAGCTAGTTAATGTGTAATAGTGTATTCTTAATCATTATTGTATTTAATAGTATGCACATGCAATATGTGTATTATATAGAAACTGCAAAGTGTTACCCAAAATAATGTGCCGTTATCGTACCTGCCGCTCCACTGTCCAGTTTGATTGACCCCTGTGCGCAGCTTTTGCGCCTCATTTATGACACAGCTGCTGTCCTCGGGTTTGTGTTTCACAAACCGAAAGTAAAGACCACTGCGAGCTCCACACACACACACACACACACACACACACACACACACAGACAGTCACAGCTGTGCAAGACTATAAATAAAGAGGTGTATAGAATGACCGAGATTGCTTATAGCCAAGTTAAAAATAAAGCAAAATAATACACAATTATAGACTAAAACTAATATAAAACCAAATATAGACTTTCACTGGACAAAAAATAATCGGTCTAAATAGGTAAGTATATATCCTCCTGACTACCAGGAAAAAAAAACTTCCCCAATTGTTTGGAAGGCAATAAGCATTCTGAAAACTTTTTTTTTTTTTTTTATGTTTATTTTCAAAATATCATGTGTCCACTACAGTGGACATCAGAAACTGAACCAAACCATAATGACAATAAGTAAATCCCAAAGAAAATACCAACGTCAACAGGTCAGCGCTACTGGCCTGTAGTCATTGGGGACACAGGGCCGTGCTACTTTTGGTACCGGCACTAAGCAAGATGTTTTCCATAGCACTGGGACCCTCTCCAGATATAGGCTCAGGTTAAAGATGTATTGTAGCACACCACAAAGTTGCGGGGCACAGGCTTTCAGTATTCTTGGACTGATTCCATCAGGGCCCACAGCCTTTGTGGAGCTAAGCCTGCTCAATTCCCTTCTTACTTGATCCTCTGAGATGGTGATGGTTCCAGAGGAATCTGGTGTAGTGGTCACTACATGGGGGGGATGGACTGGTGAATGTGTAGAGAAGTTATAGGAGGGGAGCATTTGAGACTTCACATCAAATCTATTAAAGAAAAGATTAAGCTCATTAGCATGATCTCATTAATATATAATATTTTTGTTATACTATGGGCTATCTACAACAATAAAAGAACCAAAACCCCAGAAGACACTGAGCAAATAAATATAACAAACAACATAAATAAACTATTTCCTTGTTTTCCACCTTTTTTATGTACGGAAATCACGATTTCTCCCGTTTTATCTCACAGACACACAGTACAGACATGCACTCGCGCACACACGTGGAGACGCGGACAGCAACTTGTTTCTCAGTAGCGAGGTTCTTGAAGCAGTTCAACTTAAAGATTCGCTATTAGTACACGCTGCGGCTGGAGATGCACAGACGCAGGTATTCACGCGCTAAATCTCTCTCTCTCTAATAAGTGCGTTAGACTGCATTAATAACTGCGTTAGCAAGCCTCTGTTATTAGCTCTAAAATGACGTTTTGGAAATTGCAATGGAAGGTTTATGAGGTGCACAAGAAATTAGTTCAACACACACGAGATTTCAGGACGGAAACATGACAAATGTCTAAATCATCTTAACAATGTCTTGATGTGTGGTTGTGACTCCAGGCCGTTAAAATTATTAGAGAAATAATGCACTCCCGAAGTGGT